TTCCTGGGGGATAAATTGGTCGGCAGATGAGATGGCGGCATAAGAAGCGTCTACTGAGTAACCAAGTTGTTGAAGGGTTTGGGGACTGAGAAAATTTGGCAGACGACCTGGGTACCAACCTAGCCATTCGAACAGGAATGGTTCAATGCGAACGGCGATTTGCGCCTATAAGAGAGAAAGGAACTATAGTAAGTAATGCAAAGTCGAAGTGACGGCAGACGTGGATGATAGCACGCCATCCAAAATAGAGCTGTAACTTTCAGAGGAGAAATAATACAGGAACTGAACATAACGCTATCCCGAGTAATAACGGTCACTGTTCAATCCGCAAAACTTATTCTTTTTGCCAGCGTGTGCTCAGTCCTCGCACTGGCCATTTAGAACACCGCCACAGCAATAACGGTGACAATAATAATAATGACGACACTACACCGAAAAACTGGATAGTTTTTCTTCGATTCCTTAACACCTATTCAAAGCCTAATGACAGGTTACAGGCCAAGGTCACACTGTCTGGGCAAATAATTCATTTTCCCACACAGTCTGGGATGATTACAGCTATAGCAATGCTGACTACATTTTAGCTCCAGAAACTACGCGACTACAGCTGACAACAATCGAAAAATGCCTGCCCCTTACTTCTGCAGCAAATGCAAGTAGAGTATGGGCTACTCATAACTGAAATTTCGAATTTGAGGGGGCTCCATGATGCCACTGCCCGCTGCAGCAATTAGTAGCTGGCCTATCTCCTTAAATTTTGACCGAAGTTCTGAAGCACATTTTCAATATAAATAACGGCTGAGATGATACTTTAATATTTGTTACCGTACAACACAGTCCCAAGATATTTCAGTCCCTAAAAATGCCAGATGTTCAGAAAGCTTTTTTTTTCTGGCTGTCAGCGAAAAGCACACTCGTTAGAAGATGACTACTTAAATAAGATGATTTTTTACACTGATTTTCCATTCGCCTTTAAATGCAACTGTAATGTACGGGGGAAAAGGTTCTTTCTTGTGCGCATTATTTGGCCAATTACATCTTTGTTAAACTTTATACTTCAAGGAACCCACCTCAGACGACCGACAGCTAGGCGGTTGCCTGTTGCTGCGGTGGGGGTGAGTGAGATCGACCCTCGGCACATTTTCTTTCCTTACTATAATGAATCTGATGCGCTTTAATCTATCACGGTGCGCTAAAAGCCTTGGCTTGGAGGGTTGCCAGCTGGCGGGTTAACTCTGACACCGCAGTCAGTCCAGTGTTTCTTGTTGATTGGTTTCTTGTTGTGTGGTGTGGCTGTCTGCGGGCTTACAGCCAGATTCAATGCCTCCTTCCTAATGTGACCTTTATGGTGCTCCCTGTCGGGAGCATACCTAGCGAGACTTGCTGCTTGGTACGCTTGCTGAGTGTTGGTCGCGCCAGCCGTCTGCGCCCTCCCACATTTTCAGCCTTTTTCACTCTGTCTCAACAATCGGTTCCCGGTGCGGGGGTGATCAGAGAATGGGGTAGATCCGGCGAGTCTACCTTCACTATAATCCAGCTACAGTCACCACGTGCTTCAACTCTTTGAGACTCGTAGTAGATATCGTCGAAACCGAAGGTCGAACTTCAAGAAATACTGTCCTCCAGTTTACAAAAATGAACTATGACTTTTTTAAGACCATTAAATATGCATTCATGCAGCACCTTATCCATTCTTTTATTATTACTGTTCATAAAGTATATAACAATGCCCATGCCCATTGTCAGCTTTGTATAGTGTACAGAAATGAAGGAGTTTCCTTGCATTTAAACGCAATCGCAACTGCAGACGGAGTCCAAAAGTATTCAAAGATCGAAAACCCTTAACGGAGGCATGATTTATTTTTGAAACAAAAAAAAGAACAGGAAACAACACTTTTTGCGCATGTTCAAATTCCACTGGGCATAGAAAATAAATGTGAAAAGGGCACGCTAATAAAGCTGTCGTTTTTTAACGACTGTAGGTTTTTTGCAGGCGGCAGAAAGAAGCCCACTTAAGAGACGGCATC